ACACACACACACACACACACAGCTGCTCCACACATGTGGTCAGTGGTTGCATCAGGAAGAGCTTTTGGCGTAAAACAATTGCCAAATCTTTGTGCTGGTTAGCTTGCTGTGGCAACCCCTGAGGAAGGGAGCAGCCAGTTCAGTGTATGAAAAAGATTAGCCGCCTCTTCCCCTAGAACAGTTGTCTCTCAACAACAAACAAGGAAGCTAACAGCTGATCTGAGTGAAGCCATCACAAACCTGTCCAGCAGCATCTGCTCTTCTAAAAATTGCCGTGTAGGAACARCCTGAGACATGGATGGCTTTTTACTGCTCTGCAATTAACAGCATCCTGACATAGTGCCCGACCCTATATGCTACGCAGCACGTACAGAAGAGTAGGGGAAAAAAACCCACTGTAGCACRTCATTCCGTTCTGCTGAAAAGATCATTGATTGCTCGCTGCCCACATTGGATGATTTTGCCATGTCCATGTGCAGGCATCCAAATTTATTTTTAGGCTCAGCTTCAATGACAATTAAAGCGTCCAAGTGATTTGAACTGAAGCGTTAGCAGGGTTTTCACACACTTTTGCAACACTTTCCCTATAATTAGTACAAAACACATGTCTCAAACATATCAACATAGGCCTGACCAGTTTGTTGGACAGTTCTGAGATTTTATTTTATATCTTTTGGGCAGCGGTGAAGAAGGGCAGGGCTGAGTCCAATTTTTTTTCTCCGCATCTGATTTCCTGCTTCCGATCAGAATATTATAAGCTGTCATCCACTGGAGAGGAAGTCYATTCATTTCAACACAGATGGACTGGCACCATGGGAGCTGATGTCTGCAGGCCGAATGGGGCATGAAGTATGTCTGAGCCATATGCATACAGGCATATACTGTACGTAGATGCACAGCCCAYGCAGATACAACCAAATGTGTAGTTATAAAATCAAACAGCAGTGCACAAAACCAAGCCTCCCAGTATGCTTCAGCAAATGAAGAAAAACATAGACTGAGTATAATAGTTAAAAATGGACATAACACTAAAAAATATTTTTTATTTAAAATTTTTGAATGTACAAAGCCATTACCAACTAAAAAACTCACTTTCTTGAGCTATTTAGGTTTCAAAAACACCCTAAGGGAAGAAATGTTTATCACTTTCACAGCTAAAAGTGATTAAAAAAAAGGTCTCATCATATTGATTTCCTCCCAAATTCAAGTTATGTTACATTTATTGTTCCTTTAAAGTGGAATTTCCAAATCTTTCTGTTTTGTTGTTTTAGTCTATTTTTCTATTGATTGTATATTATCACTAGTTGCTGTAAACATCAGAGAATAAGCTATTGATGCTTCAAAAGTCGTTCTGTTTGATATTATGAATATTCTTTTATTATTTGTTCTCAGGGGATGGACTTTTTGATTTTCTGATTTTCTGTTTGGAATTTTGTCAGCAAAAATACCCAGCAAAATAGGCAAAAATGGCAGGCTAGTTTTGAATAAAATAAGCGGATACAACACAGTTTTAAATTCTTACCTTCAACAACTTCAAACCCCAAAATGAACCCAAAGAGAAGCTCTGGATTTACAGAGTTTCTAAGCATGTTTTACAAGCCCCTGAAAGATACTTCACTTGTCCTTATTTTTCTATTTTTATTTTCTTAAAAAGAACATGAATTTTTTTATAAAACAAAATGAAATAGCGGTGAGCCCTAATTATTAATGACAGCAAAATTAAAGCATTTTTTTCTGGGCAGCTGTGGGGGAGTGGTTGTCCTATAACCGGAAAGTTGTGTCCACAGGGCAGCTGTGGCTACATTGTAGCTTACCAGTTCAGGGTCAGATCATTGAGTTTTAACATTCCTTATCATTTATTTGCTCATGACATTCACTTCCATTTTTCATTCAAGGTTAAAAAAATTCATTCTCTACATAAGCTCATCATTTGTCTGGATGCTATAAGAGACTGGTTGGCTGATGACCTTTTACAGTTAAATGCTGACAAGACTGAGGTGTACCCTCACACACACTTCGATTCAGTAATTCCAATCAGCTACTCGTTCCTTGATCCTGACTAAAGACATTAGGGACAGAGCATTTCAGGTTGTAGCTCCTAAATTTTGGAGCGCATTACTCTGTGAGAGCTGTGGATTCAGTGGAGATGTTTAAAAAGCAGTTTAAAACCTACCTTTTTAAGCAGGCTTTTAACATGTTTATATGAGTTTTTATGTTGTCTTATTAATGGTTTACCATTTGTAAATGTATTTCTATATGCTCTGTAGTGTTTTAGTGTGGAGTTTTATTGTGAAGCTCTTTGCAGCTACTTGACTGTGAAAGATGCTATATATAAATAAACTTACTTACTTACCTACTCACTCACTCACTCACTCACTCACTCACTCACTCACTCACTCACTCACTCACTCACTCA